GGCGGCTCCTCCTTAGGGTTACACGAAAATCTCTCTCTCTCCTCTTCGTCTATTAGTTTCGGTCCTCCCCTTTAGGATGACCTAAAGGGGGTATTTATAGCTTCTGAAGTGGTCTTGGACACTTAGGGCTTCAAAAATAACGAAAGGAATTGATCTGGGATTTAATTAAGTCGTCGGAAAAGTGAACGACCAATGTCCGCGGTCGCGGTGGCTCTACCCACGGGAAAATGGGTGTTTGCCGCGGTCCCGGCACATGCTCTCTTCCGGAACTGCATTTTCTGTCATTCTTGCATCGGGAGTATCTGAAGATATAACCGTTGGATCGTCTCCAAACCAAGTGCATTAGAAAGCTGGTTGGATCCTATATGTTGTCTCAAATTTTGGGGGTGATCAGACAGTGAGAAGGTCTTCATCGCTTGTCATACTTCTGACGGTCTGCATTTATCCAAAATTGCTCATTTGTTCCAAATTGCATATCTTTTTCCCAAGTTTCCTGTAAAGTCTTTTGAAACTCTAAAACATTGAAAACACTTTAAAAACCATTGAAAACAGAGTTAAAACACCTGCATAAGATACAATTATGATCCATAAAAGTGGTCAAAATACAGTGTTATCAATCGCATTAGGCAACGACCTCATAGTTGGGCTTCAAGATTCCTATCTGCGGCTGGAAGCAGGTCCTACTTAAGTCAGTCCTCTCAGCTATGCCATCATACTCCATGTCCTGTTTCAAACTCCCTAAGTCCCTTTGTAAGCAGATACAATCGGTCCTAACACGATTCTGGTGGGATGACAAAATGGACCAACGGAAGATAAGATGGGTCTCTTGGAACAGCTTATCGAACCCAGTCAATGCAGGCGGTTTGGGCGCGACATTGAATGCTTTAACGATGCTCTCCTAGCGAAGATTGGTGCCCGGCTTATCACCCATCCACATGGCCTAGTTTATACAGTCTTGCTGGGGAAATATATTCACAACAGACCCTTCATGGAATGCTCGTTACCGTCCAATCCATCACACGGATGGAGGAGCATAATTGCGGGAAGAGACATCCTCCGTAGAGGAATGGGGTGGTGTTAGGAATGGTGAGTCAATACGAGTTTGGTACGACCCCTGGCTAAGCTCGTCGGAACCACTCTGCCCCACTGGCCCCCCACCGCTCGCCTTCAGTGATCTCAGGATATCCGACCTGATTGATGGTGATCATAATACTTGGAACTGGACGAGGATTAGAGAGACCAACCCGGAGTTCTAACATCTAATCCGCCTTATCCCCCTCAGCTCGTCGAAACCTGCAGATAAGCTGTGGCTACCGATGAAGAACATACGCTATTCTGTTAGATCGGGCTATGGAATTGATGAGGTGTCGCGATGAGGGTGCCAAGTTTTACCCTAAATGAAATCAATAGCCGCAAGTGCACAGCTGATCGAATGTAGTACTTAGGGATCGAATCCACAGGGAATGAAGATCTTTCCTGCAAAAGCCTTCGAAAGAAATATAAAGTAATGAAGTCTAGAACAAGGCGAGTTTTGTGAGGGTTTTGGTGTGTTTAAAACGTAAAAACGAATCTTAAAGAGAAAATACGGTAATTAAAATGACCTAATAACTAAACTTAACGAAAACGAGTAAAAACGGAAAAACGGCTAAACCTAATTGCTTAAATGAAAATCGATTGAAAGAGTAAAGATACTAGACTAAAGCTTGAATAAAAATCGGTGTAAATCTATAGGAAAGAAAGCGTTGGGGTTCAGCGAAGTTTTCTCAGGGGTATGAACGACTCAAAACATTGCTAGAGAGTAAATTTGATAAGATCTTAGCTTAAACTTTTCGAACTGGAGTCACGGACGTATGAATACATCACTGTCGCGATCATAGACAACTATCTCTCTCAACCCTGACCAGTAGGTTTCCACTCTGGCCCTGGAAAAGAAGAGGTGCATTATGTTTAAGACTCGTCTGCATTCACAAATCGCCCATAGGTAGGTTTCCACTCCTATGTTTGTTTTGCTCTCCCAAACTCGATCTGACACCGGATGAACACTTTCGTGTGACCAAGCATCTGGATCAGATTGTAGTTCATGACGCTACTCTCATGCAGTAAAAACGAATTCAGAAGAAAAAGTTCTAAGATTCGGCTCAATAGCTCATGTAATCCTCATCGAACATATATAGCCCCATCAAAAATCCTTAGACCCAACAATAGAACTACTTAGACATGATAAACGAAATCAAAAACATAGTATTAAAAAGTAGTACATAAACCAAAATTGAAAAAGAAAGAACAAGGGTTCAAGAGATAGATCTCTCTCTCCCTAAAACCTAAAAACAAATCTTAAAGTAAAATTTCTGTAAATTATTTCGTCTCTCCTCTTCTCTTCTTAAAAACAACCTAAATGATATGTATTTATAGTCTTCAATACTCTCTGGTGTCTAGGGTTCTGGATTTGAGGCTGGGAAAATGATAGGGCTTCAGAAATGGGCCTTCGAACTTGGAGTTAGCTGGCCGCGGTCGGGATGTGCGTGACCGCGGGAAATAGATGGCTGGCCGCGGTCGGGATGCTTGTGACCGCGGGGAATGGCCTGTTGGTCACGGGTGGAAACGCTTGCCGGCTGGTTTACGGGACATCTTGCTCTTCGCGTATCTTTTGATTGAAACCGTTGGATTGCCAAGCTGTAAAGTGTGCTGGAAAGCTGATACTTCCATCTTTGAGATCTCCAAATTCGAGCTGGATCAGACGGTGAGAAGGCCTTCAATCGGGGATGAACTTCTGACGGTTTGACTCTGAGCTAAAAATCTGGTCTTCTATCCATTTTATTAAGTTTTTCCCTAAGTTTCCCGAAAAGAGTCTTGGAACTACAAATACTAGAAAAACGTAATAAAAGTACTTGAAAGCAATAAAAAACATAGAAAAAGTATTTCAAAATGATCCATAAAAGTGGTCAAAATACGGTGTTATCAGGAATAACGTCTTCGGATTTGATTCCGGAGAGACAAAGGAACTTCAACTGGCAAAGAAATATTTGGAAACTCCGCGTGGCCTTCAAGATCAGACATCTTGTCTGGAAAGCAGCCTCTGAAGCATTACCGGTAGGGGTTCAGCTGGTAAACTGGGGGATCCAGGTAGACTTTGCCTGTAAGATTTGTGGGGCACCTGAAACAATTACTCATGTCTTCAGGGATTGCTAGTTTGCAAAAAAACACCTGGGCGCAGGCCCTTTTGTGTGACCAGAATCACCTTAACACGGTCCACGTCCTTGATTTTCTTGATCGAGCGGCATCCCTGACTTCTCTTCCTCCTTCGCGATTATCGGCAACAGCTCTCCCAACATGGGTCTGCTGGAATCTTTGGACAGCTCGCAATCATAGGATTTTTTCCGACACTGCTTACTCCAAACAAGAGGTGATGACTAAAGCTATTACCGATGCCAGAATCTGGCAAGAAGCTCAGCAACAAAAACCCTCTAATCCGTCTCCCGCTACTGTCTCCCCCCCCACCCATAGCACCGGCTAGCGTGAGATGCTATGTCGATGCTGCTTGGCAGGATGCTTCACAGTCGTGTGGAATGGGTATCATTATTAGGCTAAATGAGGAGGTACAAACCCAGAGCTTTGCGAATTCCTGGCAGCATGTTGCTTCCCCCCTCGCTTCTGAGACATGGGTGATTCGGGAAGCCCTCCTTCTAGCCCTAGACAAAGGATACAGAGAGCTCCAAGTGCTATCGGACTGCCAGCAACTGGTGAATATCCTTCGTTCTCTTGAGAATCATATGGAGATCCATGCTATTGTTTTAGACATTCGCCTTTTGGTGATGTTGTTTTCTTCAGTATCGTTTTTCTATATCCCCCGGACTTTGAATTCCGCGGCGGATGCAGTTGCAAAAGACTCTCTTCGAGCTCTCTTAAACAATTTGACCCAAAAAAAAAGGTAAGGATTAGTTTGTGGATTCCTATGATATATTAGATAAATTATTAATACTTGTATGCTTGGTATAGAGATTAGATATGATTGATAAATGCTGATTGTTAATTGATGGTTGATGGGTGATTGTTGATGTAAAAGGAGTAATTATTAAGACATGTGATTATTTATGATTATCAACTTGCTAGGGTATTAGAATTTATTGTGTGACGGCCTACAATGAGGAACTGAATATTTTGAAATTGTAGTAATCGATAAATTGTTTGACGGCCTACAAGGAGGAACTGAATATTGTGAAGTTGTAGTAATCGAGAGAGGGCTGACGAGCTATTGTCAAACGCTGTAGAGGGTGGTGGCACGGGGATTAATTGTCGAGTCCTGTGATTGGGCAGAGGCGTTAATCGTCAAACTCATTTATAGACTGTGGTGTAAAATGAGTATCTTGGATAAAGGTTCCTTGGGAATGTGAAGTAGACTCGTTAGGTTGATTGTTTTGATTGAATGAATGATTGTATTTATTTAGAAATATTAGGATCATATATATTATATATAATAATATTAGTTAGATTGGTTGTTTGTGTGTCTAATATCTATATTATGTATACTTGTTCTTGCTATTTCAAAAGGTGTATTTAAGAATCATGTGTGCTTCAAAAAATACACCCTCACTAAGTATTTCCCAAAGAAAAATTGCTGTATGAGTAGTTTTTAAGTTTTAAATTAGAAGAATGGGTAGTTTTGAAAACCAAGGAAGGATAGGGTTGTTTTTACTGTTTGTGTTCTCGCTAGGCCCCTAAGGCAATTTTTTATTTTCAAAATTGCCATTGTCGAACTAAAATAACTAAATATTTCTGGTAAAATCCAATTTGCTAAACCGAAGTCCCAAAATCATAAACTGAAGTCCAATATCAGAAACCAATATCATAAACCAATATCATAAACCGAAGTAAAACAAATGTACAATTTATCGACACCCCAACATTTAAATTAAAAAAAAAATTGGGATCCACATCTGGACGTAGTCCATCTAGCATCTCCGGCAATTCATCTCCGATTAGCCCTCTGAGTGACCGTTGTAATGGCGCGGAGAGTTAAAAAATCGTTTAGGCGCAACACTGTGGCACCTCTGGTGTCCAGGCGAGTGCTCCGGAGTAACTCAAAGACAGCTTCGACGGAGCAGTCGCCCATACTGCTCATGCCACCGCGACGGAGTTACCGGGTTGAAGATTCCATCCACGTGACTCGTCTCAATCCACGCCGGCGGTGTACCTCCAAAGTACAATTCGCTCCTCTTCTTCTAGAATGGCCTGCTCAGAATTCTAAAAGTAAGTTACTTTTATGAACATTGACCTTCTATGAACTGGACTTTGGTTTGTTAACTCTATTAAGATTGAAACGGCTTGCCTGATTGGCCTGATTTATTTATCAGCGGTTATGAACTCTAGTAGCGGTTTCTTATGTCGATATTGAATTCAAACATTTGGATTACTCTTATATCATCTAGAAACAGTTACGGAAGTTTATATATGAGAGCATACGAATAGGGTAGTTTTTCCAGACCTCTGTTCTCTCCTTCGAACTCCTTTCCCTCAATAACTCCTTTCCTGCATTTCAGATTTTTGTTTTTTTGGTTCAAATACAGGAATAGAAGATGGAGAAGGTTCAAATATAGGCATGGAAGATGGAGAATCTTCAAATAACCTTTCGGAAAAACTACCAAAAAGGGTCCTTGGCGATGGTTGCTACCCCATTGGTGCTTGGTTAAACATATATTCAAAGGCCAATGTCATTGGCCTCCTTGTCGAAGCGTTAAAGGGTACTGAAGATCTTGAGAAGCTACTTCATTCCCAGTTTGGGAAGTTATGCCATCTACCTGTTGCAAGATGTTGCAACAGCGCCAAACTAGTCCATGCCCTTCTATCATGACAACTTGTGACCACGAAGAAACACGAGATCTGGTTCCTCTTTGGTGGACAGCCTCTGAGATATTCGATACCGGAGTTTAAGGAAATCACTGGATTGAATTGCAATCCTGAACCTGATAGCACAGAAGAAGAAGATGATGTCGGAAAGACAGGAATCTGGAAAGACCTGTTTGGAAGAGTGACCGCTATGAACGTGTTTGATGTGCTTGAAATGCTAAAGGACCCAGATCTACCCCGATGGAAACGGCTACCATTGGCCCTAATCTTTCTTGTCGACGGTGTTCTCTTGTGCAATAGCAAAAATCTGGCCCTGACCGAGAAATACGTAGAGATGTTGACTGACTCGGATAGCTTCATGCTGTATCCATGGGGGAGGGTATCGTTTAACAAAACAGGATCTCGTTTTCAAGCTCCGAAGCCAATCACTGATGCCGAGAAAAGGGAGAATCCTTTAACAAGATTGCATCGTCAACTTAAACAGAAAACCAGTGCATGCTACGGGTTCCCTCTATCACTACAACTCATGGCCCTCCAATCTATACCGGTGTTGGTCTCCAAAATTCCTCAACCTGATAACTTGAAGACTTTCATTGAAGATCCCGAAGGTTGTCAAAACGTTATCACACTATTGCATCTTGAGGACATACTTGCCATGGAATCCGACCCTCTGGTAAATTATGTGTAGTATTATATTTTCTTATTTGTAGTACTTGTCTTATAAGATAAGTAGTCTGTGATTGTGTTGGTAATTTTGCAATTGTTTTTTCCTTTTTCTTAGTTGTCTGTGAAACAGATGGTAGTGGATGATGGTGACAATGACCAACAGAATGAATTGCGTTGGGTAGATGAGGTAGAGGATGTCGAAGTTGCATTCATGCAGGAACTCATGGCCGAGGGGTACAAATTCACACCTTAGGACTTTGCTGTGGCACCGGCACCTATCGTGGATCTTAGTGATGCAGAGGACGAGGGTAACAATGAACAGGAACCAGAGCCATCCACTCGACCGAAGAAGAAACTGAAAACTCATCAAACTGAAAAACGAAAGATGTAGAGGAAAAGCGGCAGGGGCAAGAACTCGTCTAATCGATCGGAAGATGAAAGCCCTGAAAGTGGACAGATTTCAAATCTTAAAAGATGGATAGTAAGTCAGAATGAATTGCTTTTGGGTACGATTAAGACCGAGTTGGACAAGAGATTGGGCGTATACTAACCGGACGAAGAAGATGACGGTGTACACCATGAAAAAGAAGATGGGGAACAGGATGACGAAGGACAGAATCCAAAAAAAGGTGGTGAAAAGCCGGATGAAGATGAAGACGAAGACGAAGATGGAGGTGAAGAAGGAGGTGATGATGGTGCACAGTCTAGCGTACGCCATGATGATTGTGTACACCACCAAGATGGTGTCCACCAGAAGAAAGAGATGATGAAGAAGGGACCTCTACTTACTACGGCTGGGACCATTATTCTCCCAGGGACCATGCTAACTTGAAGACTCCAGAAGCTCCAAACGAAGACCCCTGAACCTGAAAAAGCCAATTCAGGAACAAGTCGTCCACCTCCTTACTGCGTCAATCCTGATGAAGATCCACGTTCTGGCCCTAACGAGGTGAGCTAATTGTTTACTCAGCAGCTGACTCTATTAAGTTTCATAACGGGTGTGTACTATGCAATAATTTTCTGCCTTTTTCTGCCTTATTCAGGTGGATGGTGGTCAAACAAATTTGGGGTCGTCAGGCATCTTAGTAGTCTACAAACCTCACCCATTGAGTTACGCATATAAGAAAAATGAAGCGCAGACAAATGCACAAGATGCACAGGTCAGACATTAAACTTGGCTACTTGATATGATATGCATGGGTATACGGTACTCTTTAGGTATACGATAGGTATACGATTGATATGGTATATGCTTTATTGTTACGGTTTTTAGGCTGTGGCTAATGAAGCAGAGGACTCAAATCCGGGTTTGCTGTTCATGAAGGGGATGCAAGACTACTTCTGCCGTGGAGACAATTGTGGCATAGAACTCATCAAGGAATCTGCAGATATGGGGTACGAAACAGGTGTTTACATGTATAGGATGTACATGAAAGCAGTGGTCGAAGACCCCGTGGGTGAGGAGTATCTTTCAAAACTAGGCAGAGGGGCAATGAGGAGAATAATTCGGAAAATTATTAATGGAGGTGAGCGTGGTTATGTCAATAAGTTGCCTACAAATTCTCAAAGAGGAGATTTGAAACTAATGCTCAGTTTAGGAAACTTTGGTCTTGCCGCTGTGGTGTTGCCAATGCTCAACTTGATTGGAATTACGAATTGTTAAAGGGGCCAAGCATGTGCATGTCGTGTTTCTGGGCACAGGAACTGCAAAAGTTCTTCATATTTGTTTGGTATGCAGTTAGGTCAGGGCCGTCCATGGAAAAATGATGAATAATTGGGGAAAGTCAATCTGTTCGGTGTGTACACCTCGGCGTTGTATACACCAACTAATTTCAAGTTTAATATAATTAGCATCTGTTGCTGTTATTTCAGAATTAATGTAAGCTTACATCCGCGGATATGTTTCTTTAGGTTAGGTAATCGAATTGATTCGATATTTCTTATTTTATGATTTAATCTTTTTTTTAGGATCTGTACACGTGATTATGTACGCCTTAATATAAGAGATATTTTGTTTCTATGTATACTTTAATTTTGAATGACTTTAATTTATTTCGGTGGGTAGTTGTGGTAGTTTTTCGAGAAGCATTATCTCTGTACGCATAATAACTAGAAAACTAATAAAGAACACCTCAATCTGGACTCAATATGTACTCAATATGATCGATATTTCATATTTTTTTCTCGTTTCTTTAGGATGTGTACACCTAAATTTGTACACTTGAATGTTAAAGACACCTGAATGTTAAAGACAATTATCACATATTATATATATTGAGTGTCTCCATTTTTAATTGCCTTTTTAATTATAATTGGGAGGGGGGAGTTGTGGGAATTTTCAAAGAAGATTTGGTATACAAACGACAATATCTCTTTAAAGTCTCACTTTACATATTTCTGTACGCATAATTTTGAAAAACTAATTATAATTTCGTCAATGTGGACTCAATCTGTACTCCATATCTCGGTTAACGTGTGTTGAAAAGAATGGAAATGTACACTACAAGAAAAGTTGTCTATTATCACAAATAATTTTGTGTCAAACATCTAAAATTTGTGGTAATATAAGCTTTTGTCACAAATTATCACAAAATTAATTTGTGGCTATAGGGTTGTTACAAATAGAATTTTGTAACAATTTTTGTGACTTATTTACCATAAAATGCCATGATGATATTTTCTGGTAACTTAACCACAAATTAATTAAAAAACAATTCTGGCATTTTTACCTCAATTTAATACAAAATAATCGTGGCACATTGTAACAAAATATCACAAACTCTATTCATAGCAAATTCGACACAAAGCGCCACAAATTTTACTTCCACAAATTATGATTTATTACCACAATTTTATATATTACAAAATTGCTAAAGATTAGCACAATATAATGTGTGATAATTTTACCACGAATTACAAGAAAAGTATGGCGAGTAAATAAAATTCATTACATTAAAAACTAAAATTACGAAAAACAAAATAAAAATAAATCTTCTATGACGCTGGAGGGACCGAGAGTGGCGGTGGAGGGACCGAGCAGCAGTGGAGGGCCAACAGCAGCGACGGAGATAATGACAACAGTGGTGGAAAGATCGACAGCAGCGGTGGAGGGAGCTTCAGCGGCAGTGGAGCAACCGTCAGCAGTGATGGGGATGAGGTGGAATAAGCGGCAGCGGTGGGGAAAGTAGAGAGATCGTTGATGAATATGGCAAAGAATAGGGAAATAGATCTGAAAAAATGGTGAAAAGTAAAGTTAGATCTCAAAAATGGCTGAAAGCGATTGTCTTTTTCCACATAAAATCAAATCTGACATAATAAATAAATAGATCTAGATAAAGAGAGAGAAAAGAGCAGTGAAGAAAGGGAAAAGAAGAGAAAGAAAGAAAATGCAAGAGATAGATCGGGCGAACAAGAAAGGAAGGAAGAGAAGAAAACAAAAGTAAGGTGGAGAAGAGAAGGAAAGAAGGAGATCGGTGGAGAAGAGAAGAACAACAAATGATATAAATTAAAACAAATTTGCCATAAATGCTCACAATTTTTATATTTTGGCAAATTTAAAAATCTCTGATAATATAGTGGCAAATATTAAAATAAATTTTACATAAAAATTTGTGGTAAATACTTACCACGGAATGCCACCAAATTTGTTAACGTGGCAAAATTGTTACGAATTTGCCACAAAATACAACAATATTTTAAAAAAATTATTTGTAGTAAATTTGTTATAATTTCGTGGTAAAATATCGTTACCACAAAATAATTGTGACAAAATTCTGATTTGGTTATTCCAAAATATAGAATGATCTTTGACCAGAAATTTAAATTTAATCATAAATGATAAAAGTAATGAAAGTTAAATACGAAATTTTGCTTGGATTTGGTTATTCTCTGTATTTATTGTGGTAATTTAATTTTGCCGGCAAACGAAAAGACACCTTTATCGTCTCTGTTCAATGTCTCTCTTCAAAGACAGCTATTCGGCTCTATTAAAACCGCACTACCTCTTTAAATTCAATCCCTTCACCGTAACTTCCTACTTATAACCATCATAACTTCCTCTATCATTCCATTTTCTTCTTCCTCAATCCCTTTTCTTATCCATTCTATTTCCCTTTTCATCGAAATAAACCATGGTTTAAAGGAGAAACAGAGGTGGTGATGGTGATTTTTCCCATCTTCTCTCGCTCCCTGATGAATTGCTGGAAACAATTCTGGCCGCAACAAACCCATCTTTAAGGGAAATAGCCCGCCTTCGTGCTGTATGTTCTCATTCAACAATATCGGCACAAGCAAGGGTTTCTATCAAGCGATTGATCCTGCCCAAATCCTCCATGAACATGCGGCAGTTCCACATTACCCAACGATGCTGAGGAGATTCCATGACGCGGGTAATCCAGGGGCTATTTTCCAGAGGAGGATGCAAGCTTACTTTCTGTTCCACGATGGTGAAGGCGTGGAATTGATAAGGGATGCTACGGAGAGAGGATACGACCGAGCCATTTTTGTGTACGGGATGTGGCTGAGAGCAGTGACGAAAGACTTCGTCCGTGCAGAGGAGTATTTGGGCAGGCTCACCGTGCAAAATCGGAGGAGGATGAGCCGGATGTTGCTGGCCCACGTTCCACATGGATGGAATTTCGACTTGCCAATCGATTTCACTGAGAAAGCGGCTACCTTTCATCCGAGATTCCTGGCGCTGTACACCTGTCAGTGCGGGGTTATCAATTACTGGCACCAATGGTTTGAAGAAGATTTTAAGGAGCCAAAGTGCATAACATGTTTCTGGGCCCAAGAGACCTAAAGGTTCTTCCGCTTCATTCGGAATGTCGTTCCAAGCTGGTCGTTGATGATCGATTGGTGAAAGCCGTAACCTTATGTGTCTTAGTATTTCGTTGCATTTCGTGTGTCTTTAATTATTGATGTTGTCTTAGTATTTCGAACTACAAGTGATGTTTTTGATTTGCATGTCTACTTTCATTTTTTTAGTTGCAACTCTTTCTTACTTTTTGTATAAACATTATCTTTCTTAGTAGTTGATTTTATGATAATTATGTTGGTAAATGTATTAATTTATCATAAAGGTGTTTAAAATTTTTAAAAATAGATAAATTATCCTTCCAAAATCGAAATGAAAGTGGTTGGACATCAATTTTATCTCATTGACATTAATTCATGATGTACACCTATTCACGTATACCTATGTACATACACCTACTTACGTATACGGGATCATAAACCGATTTCAAACATAAA